TATTAAAAAAAAAGATACATTAAGTGCTGAAAATCAGCCAAGTATGACAGTGAATGATTGAATTATTATTGTTCTTCACACAAATAGTAAGATGTTCAGACTGAATTTGGCATTTTGTCTACCTATCAGTCCATTCCAAAGACCAAAGGTTTGCTTGCTTTTGCCACAGTTCTATTTCTATTTGTAGGTCTTTGTATTTTCTTATCTTCTCCTGTTCTTTCTCTTTTGCTGGTGTTTTCAGGTACTATCGCATCTACTCTCTTTTTTGTCTTTGTTATAGACAATTATTAAGTCTGGGGTGTTATGTAAGAGTTGCCTGTTTGAATTCTGAAGTCCCAGAGCAATTAAGCTTCTTCATTTCCTAACATGTTCTCCATTTTATGGTCCTACCACTTCTTGCTTGCAGGCAAAAATATACTTCTTGTAGATTTTCCAGTGCACCATTGTTGCTAATTTGTCATGCTATTGTATTATTTTCTTGTAGTAGATTACCAAGTTTCTTCTATTTCTTTGCATAGGCGGCACTTATAGTCTCTTGCTATCTTCTCAATCCTGGGTTTGTATGCATTTGTTCTTAAGACTTGGTCTTCTGAACTAGAATTAGTTTTGCGGTCTCTTTCTTCAACTTTTCTGCTCTTAACCATTGTCAGGTCTTGTTATTATTTATTTATTTATTTATTTATTTATTTAATTTATTTAATTTATATTGCTGCTTATTCATCCATGGCGATTCAAGGTGGCCTACAGAATATAAGACATTTAAAACAATAAAAAACTAACAAAAAGAATCAAATAAATTAATATAGTATAATACAACAAAATCAACTCCCACCTCCCACCCCCTGCCTCAGTGACAACAGATCACATGAGCCATTTAATGGGCTTCATCCTGCTCTGGGTTCCCCAGGCCCACTGGCAGAACCAGGTCTTCAGCGTCTTCTGGAAGAGTATTAGAGTGGGGGCCGTTCTAATCTCAGGGGGAATTATGTTCCAGAGCGAGGGAGCGACCATGAAGAAGGCCCTTCTTCTGGGTCTCACCAGACGTATCTCCCTCAGGGATGGGACCGTCAACATTCTCTGCCTCCCTGCTCTGATGGATTGGGTAGATGTGACCGGCAAGAGACAGTCCCTCAGATAACCTGGTCCCAAGCCATGAAGGGCTTTTAAAGGAGACAACCAGCACCTATGGCACCAAGAAGCAAATCGGGAATCAATGCATGTCCCGCAGGAAAGGTGATACATGTGCACACCGGGGTCTGCACAAACTACGCAGGCCACTGCCTTTTTCACCTTGTGGAACTTATGGATGCTCTTCAAGGGCAGACTCATATAGAGTGTGTTACAATAGTGAAGATGGGAAGGAGTGACTAGGGCATGAGTGACTGTGAGTAGGGACTGCTGGTCCAGGAAAAGGCACACAACCCACAGTTGCGCTGGCCACGACGGCCAACTGCTCTTCGATCAGGAGTCGTGAGTCCACGAAAACCCCAGATTACGCACAGAGTCTGTTTGGGGTAATGCCATCCCATCCAAGACCAAAGGTGGCAATTCTCCCTGAGCCAACAAACCCCAAATCCAGACCCACTCGGTCTTGCAAGGTTTTCGTTTCAACCGGTTGCTCCATACTCAGCCCCTTATAGCCTCCAAGCACTGCGAGAGGGAGACAGGGCATCACTTAACTCACCATGGGCCAAGACATACAGTTGAGTATCATCAGCATATTGGTGATATCTTAGTCCATGGTGATGGATGATCTCACCCAGTCGCTTCATATAAATGTTGAACAGGGGCAGAGAGAGCCCTGTGAAACACCATAAAGCAGTGGTGAGGGCTGGATCTCTTCCCTTCTTTTAACACTGACTGAGAGTGGCTGCAGAGGAAGGAAATGAACCAGGATGGCACAAGGCCTCCCACTCCCATTCCCCGAAGCTGCCCCAGGAGAATACCATGGTCGATGATATCGAAAGCCGCCAAAGGTTAAGTAGAGCAAGGATGGATGCACTACTCCCAACCCACTCCCACCAGAGATCATCCAACAATGTGACCAATGCTGTTTCTGTCCCAAATCTAGGCCTAAATTCTGATTTGTAGGGTTCGAGATAATTCTTTCATCCGGAATCCTCTGGAGCTGCTGCATGACCACCTTCTCAACAACCTTCCCCAAAAAAGGTACTGTGTTTCCCCAAAAATAAGACAGTCTTATTTTCTTTTGACACCTGATATAAGCACTTGGCCTTATTTTCAGGGAGGTCTTATTATTTTTGAGGTGCAGGAGGCGGCAAGCATGGTCACTTCATAGCCGCTGCTGTGTTGCAATATTTTCAGGGAAAGCTTATTTTTTGAGAGGACTTATTTTAGCGCATGCGCTCAAAAGCCCAATTGGGCTTATTATCCGGGGAGCGCTTATTTTCAGGGAAACAGGTTAAGATTGGAGACAGGTTGGAAATTATCCAACCGGGTGGAATCCAGCTATGGCTTCTTAAGAGGGCGGACCACAGCCTCCTTAAGATGCTGGGGCACCACCCTCTCCTGTAGGGAAGTATTAATCATCACCAGAATCCAACCGCCTGTCACCTCCTGGGAAGCTTTCACAAGCCAGGAGGAACATGGGTCTAAAACATAGGTGCTTGCGCGCATAATCCCTAGGATCCTGTCTTCTTCTCTGGCAGCAACAGGGTCAAATTGTTTCCAGATAACAGGGCAAGAACCAGCCTCAGGGGCTTATTATCTGCTTTCCCTGTTATTTTTAAATGTACTGACCATGTAAGTGCTTTGTCTTCCCATGGCTCCATTCTGTTCTTTATTTGGTCTTTCTTATAGGCCAGTTTGGTCTCTCCAGTAGTCAGTAAGCTTTCCTGGTATACTAATTTTAGTGCATCTTCTTCATTGTCCTTCAAATATTCTTCCAATATCCTTTTCTTCTTATTCAGCCATTTGATGTACAGTACTTGTAACATTCCACACCCACCTTTTTCCCTTTGAAGGTAGAGTCTGTCAATGTCATTGCAAGGAAGAAGGCATGATTAATTGTCATTATTTTTCTGGTCTTCCTATCCATAGATTTTAATTCTGCTTGAGTTCAGTCCAATATTCTAATGTATCTAATGACTGGAATTGCTCAGGTGTTGATTGCCTTGATTGTATTTACTCCATTGAATGTGGACTTTACGCTCTTTATGTATTCATCTCTAGTTTTCTTCTTAACTTCACTGTGCTTGATATTGTCAGCTTGAAGGATACCCAGGTATTCATTCAGACTCTGGATGTTATTTTCATAGAGCATTTTGATTCCTTCACTATTTTTCCCTGTTTGAGCATGGCACATGTGTCCAATCCAAATTCCATGCACTATTTTGACTGTATATATGAACAGTGTTGAGGAATTATTCTATTTCAAATGGTGTCATTTTACTGACCTCGGAAGAAGGCTAAATCAACCTTGACCTGGTGAGGTTTGAACTGCTGGCAGTTCGCAGCGTTAGTCTGCAATACTACATTCTAACCACTGCACCACCACTGCTCTTCAACCTTTTAAATGGTTAAAATGTTGGAGTAGACCTGAAAAGACTTGAGTAAGTCTAAAGACACTTTCAACACTTTCAATTATTAGTTTTTAGCCCACACTATTTCACAAGGATTGTTGCTACAGGGGAAATGGAACAGAACAGCTTACGTGACACTTTAAACTCCAGGAAGAGGGGGGACTGTAAATCTAATAAATAATTTTATTCCCAAAATAGTTACATTCTAAATTAATACAAGCAATCCAGATTTCAAAATAATATTCTGCATAATGAGACATCAGCAGCAAAATAATTAATGTGTGTGTGGTATCTTCTTCTGTCCTACATTTCATGAATGTGGTGAAGTAGCCAGAACCCATGAAAGAATCTCAGATAATAATAAGTTTGCCATTTCAATACAATATTTCTGCAATTTGAATTAATAGGTTAGGAATTTTGTCAGTCCAGATATCCTTGGGGGAGGCTAGAGACAACCTTGAAACCCGATCAGCACCAGAGAGAATTTGACTGGAAGACTGCCCTGCCCCTCACTTTAAAACAATGAATATACTTGGGCCGCGTGTTCCCCTTTATTCCTATGGCCATCCTACTACTGCAAATGAAGAAATCTGAGGAAGGTCAAACGTGTGCATCATGTTCGCGGACATTTCCTTCGGGAGCCCTGACTGTGTAAAGACAGATCAATCCTGCTGCTGTGACTTTTTTTCAAAAGAAGCAAGCATACTTGGCAGGTGAGACCGGGAAAGATTACCTCCTCCTGATTCCCCCACTGCGACAGAGGGCTCTTACCTGTATTGCCTGATCATGAGAACTTCGCGAGGCTCCACGGGAAACCCAGGCAGGGAGCGGCACAGGTAGCCATCCAAGGCTTCCTGGCGAAATCGGTGCTGTTCCCGCACTTCAGTCGTATCGGGTTCACTTGCCATTTTTGCGGAGGTGAATTCGCTTCAGACCAGCGACTGATCTTTTCGCAGAACAAAGGTTGCAGGAGGTAAAGCCTACCCCTTTCTACGCCTGGAACGTAATACCGTCCACTTTTGGAGGTGGGCAAAAAGATCACGTGCAGTATGGTGAATCGCTTTCTACGCAATTTACGGTCTCCTCGTAGAAGTTAACACCGCACGTTCCGAAAGAACATATTTCTCATAGCTGCGATCCCTTTCGAGGATTCACCTGACGTTCTCCAAATGTGAATAGACTGCAGTTCCCAACATCCTTGGTTATATATTGCTGGATGAGGGAAGTGGTAGGTCAACAGGCGTGAGCCGTGTAAAGAAAGGCTACACAGCAGTTCTGTTAAAAACTAAGAGTGAAAGTAGATTTATCTTGGACAGCATTTGCTTATCCCTCTAAAAAGTGCCATAAGTTGAAAGCATATGTTACCCTTCCGGAAACCTTTTAACGCCTGAACAGTGTTTGCCGGAAGTGGATTGTGGCGGGGATGGTTTTTGCTGCTACTCCAGGAAGCGTTGAGGACAGAGACGTGTCTCTATTGATGGGATTGACTGGTTTGAGCTGAGTTGAGTCGCTGGACACCGGTGGAAATCGGCTAAAAAAATTTGGGTGGAGGGGAATCCCGATCATGGCTACCTCGGGGAACCAGGTAGAACAGCTACGGCGCCGCATCCAAGAGCTGGAGGAAGAGCTCATCCGGGAGAGGGGAGGTAATCGGGGCCTGCGCGCACGGATCGCGGAGATGAGTCCCGAGGTGACGGACTCCAATCCGTACAGGTGAGTGTGGTGGCCGAGGAAAGGTCTGGGTGAAGGACGACGTGCGAAGGGGAGAGGGCATTGGTGGGTCTGCTTTAGTTTCCCCTGCCAACTGGACGAAAACCTCTTCTAGATGCAAACTCAGTCCGGTTTTTCCTTAGAATTTCGGATCTGGATTTTTTTTTATTATGTTCAGAGAAAAACATCGTTCTTAATCATAGAAATGTTTGCAGGCCGAAGGGTTCACAGTCATTCTTTGAAGCAGCAATACTATCTAAGGGGAAGGATCCGTCTGTGAGTCTGCGGTCCGAGATCGTGATGGGCTTTGCAAACAAATACTCCCTAAATCATAGAATCATAAGGCTGGAAAGTACCTAGGAGATTTTCTAGTCGAAATCCTGATCCAGGCAGGAGACTTATAACATCCCAATCAAACAATTGCCCACTCTGTTTTTGAAAATCTCCAGTGATGGAGGCCCACAGTCCCAGGACACAAGCTATTCCATTAATTGCTCACTTCAGAAATTTTTTCCTTATTTCTGGGTTGACAAATTTCACCTGTTGCTTCCTATCCTGCCTCCTGGTGACCTTCCGAATAAGCCAGCTCTCTTCCTTGTGACAACCACTCGTATTGGAAGACAGTTATCATGATCCTTCTCTTCAATAGACTAGGCATATTTAGCTCCCATTTATTATATGATTTAATCTCCAGACCTTTGAACATCTGTATTGCTTTTCCCTGCACACTTTCCAAGGTCTCAACATTTTTTCTGGTCATGGTGACCAGAACTGGGCACAGTATTCCAAGTGTGGTCCCACTAGTGCAATAGTAAAACAGTATTATCACTTCTTGTTGTCTTGTCACTCCCTGCTTTTTTCTCTCAGTTGCCCCAGACAACATTGCCTCCTTTTTATCATTGCCAGCATCCTGTTAGGTTATCATAGAAAGCACGTTTCTACATGATAAAAATCATTTCTAGGTATAATTTCCTTGTCAGCAGGAAGAATTGCAAGAATTATCAACTAGTCAACTATTAAAATTCATGATAAGTTAATGGTTGTGTCTAGTTTCAGCATAGTTATTAATACAGTTCTGTAATCTTTGATGATCTGTAAAGAATTTCAGCTCTTACACTAGTTACTTTTTAAACCCATTCAATAACATTTTAATAACTACACTTTTATAAAGGTAATAAAAGCTAGCAAATTAGAATAAATAGTGCAGATAGCAAAATAATAATAATTTACAGTATGTGCTAGTTTGAGCCTCTTTGAGTAGGGCATTCTGTAAATAGAATGCCACAATTAAGGACGGACAGTAATTTGAAAGCTGTTATATTATCAAAATGTTATTGTGGACATTAGATTAATACAGGTAGTCTCGGCTTATGACCATAATTGAACCCAACATTTATATTGCTAAGTGAAACATTTGTTAAGTGAATTTGCCTCATTTTACAACCTTTCTTGCCATAATTGCTAGGTGAATCACTGTAGTTGTTAATAACACAGTTGTTAAATGAATCTGATTTTCCCATTGAGTTTGCTTATGAGAAGGCCACAAAAGGTGATCACGTGATCCCAGGACAATAAATATAAGTCAGTTGCCAAGCATCTAAATTTTGATTACATGAACATGGTGATGTTGCAATGGTGTAAGTATGAAAACAGTTATAAGTCACTTTTCTCAGTACTGTTGAAACTTTGATCACTGTGAACAGTTGTAAGTCAAGAATCATCTGGATACAAAACAATAAACTATAAAAATGATGTACAATCAACTCTATAGAAGGCAAAATTTAATTATACAAATCTATTAGAAATCTATTGGCGTATTGTATATATTTACATATGCCCATATACACTCATAATTATCTCTTTGTCATAAATTAATTTATACTTTCATATGGATTGTAGTTTCAACAGGATAGATCTGCAGATTGTGCAGTAAGCCATTGAAAACAATTTGCTAAATAGAGATTTAAAGTTGAAATAATTTATGAACTGTGGAATAATTCATCTCATTTTGAGAAGCTGCTGTGCCCTGTAGTGAATTTAAAAAAATCTTTTCTTAACAAACTTTCTTTCTGCTTCTGTTTTCTTTCCTATAGTCGCCTGATGGCATTGAAAAGAATGGGAATTGTGAAAGATTATGAGGTGGGCTAATGTTTTTTGTAAATAACTTGTCTCAAAGTTTTATTGATAGGGCAAAGCATTTAAAAACTTTGGTTTTTTATCACAGAAAATCCGTTCATTTGCCGTGGCAATAGTGGGCATTGGTGGAATTGGCAGTGTGACTGCTGAAATGCTGACAAGATGTGGCATTGGTAAGGTAATGGTCATTTCTTCATTATAATTATACTGCATTATTAGTCCTGTATAAGAATATTGACAGTTTAAGGAGAAATGTATTGCCATTTGTTGAAAGTGTTTTGATAGTGTACCTTATAATGCATGAGTGATGGACATATAAATGATGGTCTTCAGCTTGTATTTCACAGAATGTATGCCTTCTCACATGTACATTTTCAGTAATACTATTATCCTACTTTTCTTCAAAAGACATTGTTTTTATTATTCAACTTTCACTCTACCATATTCAAAATATTCTAAGAAGTTTACATTAAAAACATGAGCTACATGGTTTTTGAACAGCAATCTGGCTTTCTGGAATTAATTTGAATCAAATTAATTCCAGAAAGTCTCCTATCCTCCCAGTCTCCTATCCTCCCAGAGACTAGGTCAAGCTATCTACCACATCTCTTGCCCAGGCTGGTGTGAGGTCTTTACGGGTGTGTAATCAGCATATGATAATATTTCATCCAGATCAATGACTGGCCTTTCTCTGCAGTTTTATGCATATTATAAATAACATAGGGAAGAGGATTAAGCCTGTCAGCATCTCTTACTGGGGTAAACATGCCCTTGACCACAAATAAGAGCAGACTGACAAGTACTCTATACCTTAATCCTTACAGGCAGTCAAGAAGAATACCATGACAAAGAATCCTGAATTGTAGAAAAAAATAGGATTTCTATTACACAGTGAGTGGAGCGGGGGGGGGGGGGGGGCTCGTCAGAGGCTTTTTTGCTAAAAACCTCAGCCAAGTCTTTGTATTCTTTGAGTATGCCCTGGATTGGCATAGTGTAAGTAGGCATTGCTGTTTCTTGGTTCTCTGCCCCCTCAGTTTCTTTGTGTGGATTCTCAGCAAAAGTCATGTGCATCTGAACTTTTATGGTACCTTGTTTCCAATTAATTTGGGTGTTCCATTTTTTTAAGCCATGCAAGGCCCAAAACTGGCAGCCATTCCATGCCAGGTGCCACTATAAATGTAAGATTTTCTTCATGGCTCCAATGCCTTTCTGTAGAGGCTCAGTGGCAAAAGAAGCTGGCTCCACCCCTACTATTGACCCATCTAGTTGATAAAAAGCGATGGGGTTTTTCAGCTTTCCTTACATTAATCCTCAACTTTCTTACCAGGGCTGGGCTGATCAAACAGTGGGTGCATCCTGAGTTCACTAAAGCTGAGATTTTTATCTCCCTTTCCCAGTTGCGGATAAACAGTCTTAGCGGGAGGGTAAGTGGTTTAATTGGTTTCTTACCAGTGGTTCATCCTCTGGATCGCTTTCGAATGAGTATGATTTCTCCTGAGAAGCCGGGGTTTCCTCCTCAAAGAGGGGAAGGGGTGGAGATTCTACGATCTCCCTGCTCCTCAGGGCCGTCTCCTTCCCACGCTGGCCAGGTTTCATAGGTTTCTCCCCCAATGGGCGCTCTGGTCTCCTAGCCGGTGTTTGAGAACAGAATTCTGCAGCTCAGTGCTCCTCCTTTCCACACTTGGAACAGGTTGAGGGTTTCTGAGAAGATGCTGTTTGCGGATTGAAAGGTTCTTGCTTCCATTGGGGTAGGGATTTCTTCCACACTCACCCCGCATGGTACTGGTTCCTGGCCATGTTGATCTCAGCCTCTTTGGCAGTGAGATACCACTCATGTAGGTGGTTTGGTGCACCTCGGGCCACACAAGCATTGTAGAGGTCATCACTCAGCCCGTCCTTGAACCAGCTTACCAGGATATCCTCTGGCCAGTTCACACGACATGCCAGGTCTTGGAATTTTTCGGTATACTCTGCTACTGGCCGCCGTCCCTGCTTCACAACTTTAATGCAGTCATGTATTTTGCGGTCTGTGAGGGGTCCTCAAAATGTCGTCGCAGGACCATCATAAAACGGTTGAAGTCCCGCAGTTCTACCATATCGGTATTATGTAGGGTTACCATCCATCTGGCAGCAGCTCCTTCCAGGGCTAGGGTAACCACCCGCACTCGAGATCCTTAGGTTTGAAAATCACGCCCGTATTCTTGCATGTAGGTGAGCACGTGTGCCACAAAGAATCCCAATTTTTGCGAGTTCCCATCAAACGCCACCCCAAGGGAAGGAGTTTTTCTTTTTAATTGCAGGTTTCGGGGTTGGTTTGGAGTGGGCCCCAATCCATGCGCTAACTGGGGGGAGGGTTTGCTGGGTCCCCTGCTGCTGTTGCTGTGCCAACTGCTTGATCAGGAGGGCCTGGGGGGTGGCCCTCCTGGCATCATCCATGGCTGCTGCCCTTCCCATGCTTTGCTGCCATTCTGGCTCCCCCCAGAATGTTGAGATTTTACAAAATCTCCATCACCAACTGGGTTACCTGTCTCTTCAGACGGTCCTCTCTCAGTGAGGCCTCATTTAGCTCCTCCTGGTCAGAGAGGGCTTCTAACTCCAATTTCCACCCCGGTTTTCTGTTACTACGGGTGAGGGTGACTCCTCTGGTCCTCCCATCCCAGCTGCCTTTCGTCCTGATGCCGATTGACCAGTGGGGCTTTTTGGGGTCTTCCACATTCACCTCATCCTCTCCGACAGGGTTACATGGAGCAGGCCTCCAGTTTTGGGGTGGTGGTGTGGTTTGACGTCTCGTTCCAGCATTCAGCTTCCCCCTGCTCACTGTTGTGCTCGGACATGGTTTGCAGGATACTTTCGGTAGAGTAAATATTGCTTCTCCGGGTTGACCATTTTGCAGAGATGTTGATTTATGTAAGGATTCCTCTCCTAACTTAAGAAAGTGAAGACTCTTGAAACCGAGTATTTCAAAAGGAACATTTTATAAAGAAGAATGGAAACGATTAAGTTCAAAGCAACATTTGAACCCCCTTAGGCAATGCAAGTAGAATTAAAGCAGTAGAGACCTCCCCCCCCCTCGTTAGTTAGAATGCAGATTTTAGCCAATACACATGTGAGTATGTTTCCTTTATCAACTGCCCTGAGAGCCGAATAAACATACATTCCCATGGCTATTTCTGTTAGACATTAAAGTGAACCATTCCACATGGCCATCATAAACATTCCCCAAAAGGTGAGGGGATCTCAAGGTGCTTTGGCGCCAGGAAACCAGTTGTAAAATATCAGTGTCACAGGCACTGCTAATAAATCGACTCCAAGCCCCCCCTCCTCTCAGTTGAATGGCAGTATCACTTTTAGGGATCTGACAGGTATACCACTTAAAGAGCTGTTTTATAAACTAGGAGGCTGAGTTCTAGACTACTCTTAAGCATGAAAACCAGCTGAATGACTGGACGGTCACTCTCTCTCAACTCAATCCACCTCATAAGTTCGCTAAGGAGAAAAATCAGAGACAGTCAATATTCAGTGCCTTGAATTATATATAAAAAGGCAGAATAATAATTTAACAATTATTGATAAACAAAATGTCTGGATAATGGATGTTGCAATACTTGAAGACAACAGAAGAACAAGTGAAACAATTGAAAATCACAAAATAAAAATACATGTAAATAGAAGTAGAAAACCAAATATAAGTATCAATAGTAATAGGTGCTTTGGACACAATTCCAAGACATGGAGCACCATTTAAATTCCATTAGCATTGACAAAATCACCATGTCAAAAGGCAGCTTTACTCGCAACAGCTTAATCCTGCAATGACACCTTTTAACACCATCAAACAACAGTGGTCTATCCCAAGTCCTTGGGAAGGAGTTTACAGGTGGACAAAATGCAAAATCCAGTCTAAAACATTTGGCTGATCAAAGCTCTAAGGTTTAACTGGAGGAGACCCATACTTCTCACATTTTGTTCTTGGTTATCCACCAGAATAATCAATGTCCACATACTTCTTTTTATCCACATATTTCTGAAGAGACATGTAAGGAATAAATGGGAGCTTACTCATTATAAGATACATACTCCTAGAACAGGGGTGTCAAATTCAATTTCATTGAGGGCCACATCAAGGCTATGGTTAACCTCAGGGGGGGCAGGTGGGCATGGCCGACTGGGTGGACATGGCCAGCTTGATGCCACTGCTGGTCCGATGTTTCCTCTTTGCATTGGGTAGACTGGGCCAAAGTGATGCAGGTAGATCAGACCGAAGTGACATGTGCTGGCCCCTTATATTTTCCAGGATGGCCCTGAGGGCCAGATCTGACCACATCATGGGCTGGATCCGGCCTGCAGGTCTTGAGTTTGACACCCCTGTCCTAGAAGTTTATAAAATGAATGAATATTTGAAATAAATTAGAGTCAAATTCCATTTAAAAAATGCAAACTTAGAAATAGTTACAAGTGGTTTAGAAAAGTTGTTACTTGTCAATTTGATATTCACTAATTACCTAATCTGAAAGTATTCTTCCTCGGATATTGATAATTGCATATACTCGAGTATAGGCCAACCCGAATATAAGCCGAGGTACCTAATTTTACCACAAAAAAACTGGAACGTTATTGACTCGAGTATAAGCCTAGGGTGGGAAATGCAGCAGCTACCGGTAAATTTCAAAAATAAAAATAGATACCAATAATGTTTTTGAATATTTATTTCAAAGAAAAACAGTAAACTAGCTCTGTAAGTGGAAAAGAGGGTCAATAAAAACAATATGGTATCAACAATTACTTTAAAAGTACAAAAACCTTAGCTCATTCAGCAACCAAGCTAAAACACAAGAGTTAAAATCCTTCAAAACTGGATTCCTCATCATCATCGGGACATCGCTATGTGGCTGCTTGCCATAACAAGGAGGAGGTGGGACATCGTTGCAGAGCGGCAGGAGGGGGAGGAAGGGGAATCGTAAGACAGCCCTGCATTACATTAGAACGTGAGGAGGGGGGATGGTGCGGTGCGCGCTGCGCGGCAAACTGACACAGAGGGAGGGGAAACTCACAGGGGTGCCGGGCCATTCACGAGCGTCACCCAGCGGCATGGCCCCGCCCCCTTTTCTCCCCCATTTCGGGCAAATTTTTCACTGACTCGAGTATAAGCCGAGGCGGCTTTTTTCAGCCCAAAAAGTGGGCTGAAAAACTCGGCTTATACTTGAGTATATACGGTAAGTATATTGCTAAAAGATTGCTTATCGGTTGCAAGTATTTTTAATGCTTTCTGGATCTAACATATTTTGTTAGATCCAAGAATCAATTTTGGAGTAGTTGAGAAAATGGTGGCAGAGTTGATCCACTTCTGTGGATATAGAACAGCTCCTTTCATGAGTGCTGTAACTATTTATATTAACTAAATTTGCTTAGTCTTTGGAATTCTGTGCCTTTTGCCATTTCAGCTTGGCCTAGTTTCAAGGTACCTATGGCCTACTATCTTATTTTAGTTTTTCAGCTGAACTATGAGCTAAGAAGAGACAGATTACTTACATGATAATTCTTAGACTAGAACAATCCTCCCTAATTCAAATTAGTTAGTGAGCTAATTTGGAGTTATATAGACCATTCCAAAGCGCACATAAATTAGTATAAATATACAGTATATTAGTAGAATCAGGACTTGGTCTTATTCGGAAATGAATGGAAACTATATATGTATTATTGTAATTTTTTTTAGCTGCTCTTGTTTGATTATGACAAGGTGGAACTGGCGAATATGAATAGGCTCTTTTTTCAACCCCAGCAAGCTGGACTGAGCAAAGTGAAAGCAGCAGAACACACTTTAAGGTATATGATGGGGAAAATGTGTTTTCAAGTATTCAGGAGATGTCTCTCTCCAACTTTAAAAAATATTACCAGAAAGATAGAAATTTGCATTTGATGTGAAAGTCTTTTAGAAATATTTATGTGAACATCATAAGTAGCAACTTTTTTTTAAAGGAATATTAATCCTGATGTCTGCTTTGAAGTACATAATTACAACATCACCACTGTGGACAACTTTCAGCATTTCATGAATAGGATCAGGTAAAAATAATTTTTAGAAGTGTATTTACTGTATGCATAATGGCACTGTTTGACTTGGTTTTATTAATACTGTAGTAATGGTGGATTAGAAGAAGGAAAATCTGTGGATCTTCTATTAAGCTGTGTGGATAACTTTGAAGCTCGTATGGCAATTAACACTGTAAGTAAATAACTAAGTATTCAGAACTCTCATTAATGAATCTTAATTGGTGCGTGCTTATTCTTATCCAATAAAAAATGAGTATGTTAGAAAATTATGATAGCATGAAAAATCCAGAATTCAAGCATGAATGCATTATAATCCTGGACTGATTTCATTCATTGTGTAGACTCCTTAGGTTTTGCAGTCCCTGGTTTCTGCCTAATGTTGTGGAAGTTGTATATGTTTCTTATATCTATTTTTAGCAAATCAAACGACATGTCTTTTTCTTAAAGGCTTGTAATGAGATTGGACAAATATGGATGGAATCAGGAGTAAGCGAAAATGCTGTTTCTGGTCATATCCAGCTGATCATACCTGGTGAATCAGCTTGTTTTGCAGTATGTAATTATCTGATTTCTTGTTCTTTTCTGCTATTAGAGAAGTCCAATTAATTGCAATGTATATGTGTGTTAGGCAGTGCAAAGCCTTCCAACCAGATTCATAGTGGATTTGAGATCTACAGAAATGTCTTAGCCTGCTCATTTGCATCCACATATTGGTCCATAATACCTTCCAGCTTGAGATATAGTTAATGCATTTTCATTGGGAATAGAATTGTAAATTAAACAATAAACTGTTGTCTTCAGAAGTTTCTTTTCCTTTTCTGTTATTTTGAGAAAGTGTTCAAAAGTCAATCTTCTTTAAAATCCTGCTTTCAGAATTTTTAAAAATCTAGAAAGGTCTCAAGAGAGGCCTAGTTATAATTATATTTTCAGTTGCAGTTCAGATTTTTGCATTCAGTCTTCCAATTGTTCCAGAACAATGCTGAGAGTAATTTGGAATGAGTGAGTAACTAGCCCAAAGTTCCCCAAAAGGCTTCCAGAGTTGAGGTTAGATTCAGACCTGGATCTACTTATAGCTTTTCAAGTACCATACTTTATGCATTCTTCGCTTCAAGACCATGCAAGATACATAATCGTTTGTCTCCAAAAAGTGGGATTTGGATGATAAAATAAGAGAAGAATATGACATTTCTTTTCCAAAATACCACATTGACCATTTTTTCTCTTTTTGACAATAGCAACCATAGATTTTTCCAATCCAAAGAGCTTGGAATTCATCTCATGCTGTGCCCCCATCCCTCCATTTTACCTCTGTAAATATGTTTTTTTATTTTCCATTTTCATTTTCGTACAGTCACATATATACTATGCATAACCGGGGCCATATAACATTAAACAATAAATACAGCCATTCCTCTTGTCAACAATGCCCCCCAAAATAGAAACCCAATGTACCTCTTCGACCCTCCATACACCCTTTCTTTCGCCCCCTTCCAACTTTTCATCTTCCCTCCATCATTCCCCTCTACCCTACTTCCCCTCCCCCTCTACCATTCCAGTACACTCCCTCCCTTCCTTCTCACCGTCCCTCCAATCCTCTCTCCCACCCTCTCTACCCCTCTTTCTTCTATCCCTCTACTCCTCCCATCGGTGTATTTCTACTATCTATTAATATATTCAGCTTGTCCTATTTTTACACTGGAATTAAAAAGCAACAGTATACAAGTACGATCACGTTACTTTGAAATCTGACACGTACTATATATCCCCCCTCCCCCCTAACATCCCACATCCCTCCATTTTACCAATTGCTGTTTTTAGACAATTTCTACAATATTTCCTAACTTGCAATAATTCTTTAAACTTGAATTTACTCTCACTCAGGCTGGTTCATCACTGCTCTAATAAATGCTTCAAATACCTTGTTCCCATAATGTCATAAAACATATCAGGCATTGTGATTAGAATGGCTGATGGTGATCTGATGACAAAAATCTCTTAATTGGAAGATTGATGATGCCCTGATTAAAAATTTTATTTCCCAATGCTAGCTAGCATTGTTATTGCAGCACTTCATAATCAACATGTGTCAGTTGTGTCAGTCATAATCAAGCTGTGTCAGTTTTCAGTAACTCCAAACCTCCTTGGGCTTTCGTCAGGATTTGGGATTTAGCCCAGATGAATGATTTAAATATATTTCTTCCATACTGTAAACACATGGTTATAAGCATCTTTTTTTTGGTATCTTTTTCACTTTGCTAGTGTGCACCTCCACTTGTCGTAGCTGCAAACATAGATGAGAAAACTCTGAAACGAGAGGGAGTTTGTGCAGCCAGTCTTCCCACCACTATGGGAGTGGTTGCTGGTCTTCTTGTGCAAAATGTCTTGAAGTAAGTGGCTAAATCTTTAAGTTGAAAATAACATTTAATACAGCAGTTTCTGACTAAATGAGATTGGCATATGTGGGCCTGATTGGGATACATTGCAGGGTGACACAGAAATATAATTTTATGTCATTTTATTCTATTTTACATATTTACAGTATGTATTATTGTATTTTATCCTGTAACTATTGTATTTTATCCTACTCTTATTTTATTTTTATAGGATTTTATTGGTAATGCATGTTTGAACCTTGTACTTTGATATGGCTAATCAATAAAGCTAATTTAATCTAAAATAAACTAGTTTTTTGTTAACGGATCTTCCAGAATAAAATATTTTGAACCTGATTTCTTGTTGTTTCTCTTTACATTTTCTCCAGATATTTATTAAACTTTGGAATTGTGAGCTTTTACCTCGGCTACAATGCACTGCAGGATTTCTTTCCTACCATGACAATGAAACCAAATCCACAGTGTAGTGACCGAAATTGCAGAATGCAGCAAGAACAATATAAGGTAAAATACAAACTCCAAAAACAAATCCCTTAGTTCTCCACTTAGTTGCTTTATTTATTTAGAACCTGCTAAGGAAAAAGAAGTCTTGTATACTGTTTTCTCCCATATATTATAAGTAAATTTCAGGTAATCATTATTATCTAGTGTATAGTGATTTTGTATATCCATTTTTGGTAAATACAGACCAGATCTTGTTATCCTCTGCAAAATGTTCCATATATCTTCAGTTTGGAGTTTGTCATTTTGTTTGAAGATTTTTTGAGTGATGTATGTTCTGTCCATGTGCAAAATGGTAGGTGCACAAATATTTTTTAAATATTTTTTTATTCTTAAATTTGTTGCTCACAATTGTTAAATTAGACAGCATCCTCACAGATAATGAGAACTACCTTTATTTAATTTTGTTTTTGTGTTATTAAAAAGCTTTTGTTAGTTTTGGTATCTTTGTATTTGCAGAAAAAGGAGGCAGTGAATCTAGAAGAAGAATCAATAGACCAGGAAGACGAAATAGTTCATGAAGACAATGATTGGGGTGATTTTTTTTTAAAGACTCATGAAGATAATTCATGTTCCTATATTTCATTATTTAAAATTAATCCCTTTGTGATGGCATCATTTTATTTCTTTGTACCTAAGGATCCTCAAGCAATTTTCAGAAAGAAATCAATAAAATTATTATCACAATTTGAGGATCTCAGAATTTCTTACAGTAGACTGGGAACAATGAATAATTTTTAGGAAAGAAACCTGAGCCTAGTGGACAAAGGCAAATTGCTCTGTCAATATTTTCAGCGGACATTGCTGAATAACATTTATTCGAAAGCAAGCCATATTCTCTCACAAATAATATGGGGTTTAAGAGGTTAGTTAGAAGTTAGAAGAATACAGACAGCCACTGTTTGCCTTGAAATGCCCACCAAAAGGCAGGCTGGTTATTTTATGAAACTTTGTGAGGGAGCAAGTTACAGTGTGCCATCCTTTCTCTAGGGCATCACTAAGCCATTAAAGGACATGAGCTTTTTTCTACAAGAGAAAATGCAGGAAAATTGGACATACTGTTAATAAGAAGATAAGTTAATGGCCATACTGTTCATCATGTGGTGTTGTTTAGTGCCACATAAATAGCAGGAAAACACAGTAAAACTTTCTAAATATTATTTATTCCTATTTTGGTTCTCTGGCCAGAGATGAGCAAAATTAGTCAAGAAACCTGTTATATTTTTTAAAATTTTCTAAAATAATCATGATTCTGTTTAATTACAGAATTTTTATCTTTATGTTTTTGGGGGGATGTTCAGGTATAGAGTTAGTTTCGGAGATTTCAGAAGAAGAACTGAAAGATGATTCTAGTTCAGTTCCTGATCTTCCAGAAGGAATTATGTTGGCTTACACAATACCAAACAAGGTAATAAAAATGCTTGGCATTCAAGTTCTTGAAATGTGGTTTTAGAATCTAATCCATTAGATCTTATTTAGAATCGGTTTAAATAGCTTTTGCTAAACTAATGTAAAGCTGTTGTTTTCTGCTTTATTTTTCCAAGATGTATTATTTAAGTTGTTCATTACTATGAAAACAGTTGCAGTAATACCATTGACTTGTATTAGCACACCTGCCAAATTTGGTTATCTCTACTCTGTGGAACAAATGCTTTGCATTAGTGTGTAGTCCTTAATGGAACTGCATCTACATGGAGGAAAGTATGCATGGTATATCCTAAGGCTCTGTCTTAGGCCCAGTACTTTTCAATATCTTCAGATTTAGATGAGTACAGAAGGGGAATTCACCAACTGCAGACACCAAGCTAGTGAAAAAAGTCAACATTCCAGATGCTAGGCTCAACATACACAAATATCTCGACAATGGGCCCTAAATTACAAAATGAAATTTAATGAGTAAGGTTTTACAATTAGGCAAGAAAATACACAGATATAAAATAGGTGGTATCTGTCTCAGTAATAGTAATAATTAATAGTAACTAACAGGATCATTGCGTTTTAGTGGGCAGTCACTTAAATATGAGCCAATAGCCTGCTGTAACCTTCAAAAAAAACAAATACCATTCTAGGCTGCATTAATAAAGGCAGGGGTGTCAAACTCAAGGCCCGGAGGCCAGATCTGGCCTACAGAGAGCTTAGATGTGGTCCATGGGGCCACCCTGGAAGCAGCGAAGGACCGGTCCACAGTGCCTCTGCCAGTGAAAATGGAGTTCAGGAAGGTTGCAGGAGGCCATTGCAGCCAGAAACAGAACTTGTGAGGACAACACGCAGCTCTCAAGCTCCTTTTTAACTGACAGAAGGTTACAGGAGGCTGTCCCAGCCAAAAACGGAGCTCACAAGGGTCACAGGCAGTCCTCCCAAGCTCCGTTTTCACTGGCAGAAGGTTACAGGAGGCTGTCGCAGCTGAAAACAGAGCTTGGGAGCCCATTTTTGTTGGCAGAGCACTTAGGCCACCACAGGTGCCCCTGACACAAGTGATGTCAAGCTGGGCACGAGCACCCTGGCCACACCCATCCCGGACCTCTGATGTCATGCGGCCCACAATGAAATCAAGTTTGACACCCCTGAATAAAGGGATAGAATCAAAATCATGTGAAGTGTTATTACCATTTTATAATGCCTCGGTAAGATCACAGTTGGAATACTGCATCCAGTTGGGTTGCCACAATATGAAAAAGATGTTGAGACTCTAGAAAGAGTTCAAATGAGGAAGAAAAATGCTTAAGAGGACTGGAAGCTAAAACATGAACAGTTGCAGGAATTGTGTGTCTCTACTTTAATGAAAAGAGGGACTAGTGACTTGATAGCAGTGTTCCAATATCTAAAGAAAGAAGAGGAGATCAACCAATTCTCCCAAGCACCTAAAGGCAGAAGCAGCAGCAATGGGTGGAAACTAATCAAGGAGAGAATCAACCTAGAACTAATGAGAAATTTCGTGACAGAATAATTAGTTAGTGGAATGACTAGCCTTCAGAAGTTGTGGATGCTCCATCACAGGATTTTTTAGAAAAGATTAGACAGCCAATTGTGTGAAATGGTATAGTGTCTCCTCTGTTTGAGCAGGGGACTGGACTAGAAGACTATCAAGATTCCTTACAATTCTGTTTTTCTTCGGGTGAATTGGATGTAAAGGAGTTATTTTTCTTTTCTATCATTAACAGAAAGAGAATATCCCAGCTGAAGAAATGGTTGAAGAATCTGAAGAAAGTCTTGAAGAACTTATTGCTAAAATGAAGAATATATAGAATAAAGAATGTGTCAAGGACCTGTTAATTTTAGTGCTTTATAGCTATTTAATGGTTTCTGACTAAATTTGGCCTTTTATATATTTATCACTCTGTTTTGATGATACTGTGTTTCCCCGAAAATAAGACAGGGTCTTTTGACCCACAAAATATGGCTTGGGTCATTATCAGGGGAGGGCTTATTGTTTTGGGGTTGTCAGGTGGCTGCTCTCTTGTGAGCGGGCTCCTAAAGAGCCAGGCACAGTCTCAGGGCAAACAGCTGTGTTGCGCTGTCGCAGCAGTGTAACACAACAGCAATGAAGCAACCACGCTCACGAGCAGCCACCCGGCAAACCCCCTTTATAGCCAGGCACAGCGCCATTCACTAACCTAGGGGTATTGCCAAGCCGCGTGAGTGCCTGTTTGGTGGCTCCCAGCTCCCGTGGCTTGGAAATGCCAGTGAATGGCGCTCTGCATGGCTAGAGGGGGGGATTACACGAGTGGCTATTCCGCTCCCATGCCTCCCAGCCTCACGATGCCCTGGCCCAGCTCTCCCTGCAGAACCAGAGCACCTCTGCTGCCGCCCACCACCATCCCATCATGGCTTTTTTGGCAGCTTCCAAACCAAATCTTCCAGCAGAGGTCGCTCTAGGCATATGCTCTATGATTGTGGGCCAGTTGCCAGCAGAGCGTACTTCCAGAGCGTATTTTCAGGGAAGGGCTTATATTTTTGCCCACCTGAAAAATGTGGTATGGCCTTATTTTCAGGACATGTCATATTTTTGGGGAAACACAGTGTATGATTAAATTCCCATAACTTAATACATTATTAGAAGCTATGAGGATTCAAATTTCCAGAAAGCATTAAAGCAACCCAATACATATTATGAGAATGATAGTGATATATCAGATCAACCACAAAGGTATTTTATGAAAGGTAAAAGTTTACTTATTAGATATAATACAAGTAAAGTAAATATAAAATAATCTGGCAAAACTTCTAATGCCCCTTATGTTTAGAAAAATTAAAGATTTCACTAGTTGTAGCTGTATTTAATTTTTGAAATACTACTCTACTTTACCCATAATGCTAAATGATGAATTGAGAGCCAAGGTGGTGCAGTGGTTAAATGCAGCACTGCAGGCTACTGCTAGATCAGCAGGTCAGCGGTTCAAATCTCACCGGCTCAGGGTTGACTC